AGATGGTCCACATTAAACTTACTAAGTCTAAAAACATGTACATGAACATGAACTTGAGCACAAAAGGAAGGGGAGGGTAGACAAGAATAGTACAGAAATGAGAAAGGATAAGAAAATGAGAGTAGTCAGTATACATGATGTACATGAATAAAATTGTCAAAGAACAAATTTAATTAATACAAAAGGAGTAATAGAGGTGATGAATATGATCAAAATATACTGTATGCATGTAGAGTAATATCATAACAAAACATTTTACTCTATTAATTTAATACATGCTTTAAAGACTGTAGATTATCAGTACAAATAATTTCTTACCAATACAAGTATAGCTACTAGTATAAATGTACTATAAAGTAGAAATGCTTAAAAACACTATCATTAGCACATTCAAAGAAGCAACTGGATATGTTGATAGATGTATGGACAGATGCTCTTATATAACTTCAGAGAAAATATTTTCTAAGTGAACTAAGTGAAGAATAGCTATCCTATGGAAAGCAGGGGGAAACTGAGTTTTGCAATTTTAAAGAAAATTTTGGCTTCTACAAGAGGCTGTTCCTAATATAAGCACTGGTCATATTTTAACAAGTGTGTATTTCCATTACTCGGGACTCCAGCTGTGTTTTTCCTTAGAAACAATGTTGTAAAGGCTTGTTCAGATTCCCAAGCAAAACTAGAACCATCTGTCTACTTGGCCCAGAGTGAGCCCAAAAGGCTGCTCTAAGACAGACATTCTCAAACTTGTCTGCTTGCAACTCCTTTTGACCTAAGAAATTCTTATGTGACCCGAGGTACACAGGATTTTAAAATAAGTATACAAATCAAACACTTACTAAAGAAAAAATTATACAAAAATTTGTTATGAAAAATCTTTGCTATACATAATTTTACCATTTATTAACCATGTAAGAAAACAGATACTTTAGTGTGTTTTGGCATGAATAATTCAATCTTTGATGGGTCTATGATAATATAAGATGCAAAACACCTCCAATATTCTTCAGAGTTAATCAATATTTTGATTTTATACTTATCAGTACTGAGAATGCCATTATAAATGTAATATAAAATGGCAATAGTATACTCAGGAACATTTCAGTAATTGTTGGAAATCTTGTGTAATCTCAACCCAAAATTCATTTAATCTTTTTTTAATGAAAATCAAGTCTGCAGCTCAAACAGTAATTTTAAAATCAAACATTCAAACACAACTCAACTGAAAGATATACTAATTTGATACTTACGTGCTTAGTAATGATAGTGGGAAAATATTAAAAGTCTTTGTTTCCTGTAATTAAACCATTATGTTTCTCCAGGAGTAGAAAATTATGCATGTATATTTTGCGATTCATAAGACACAATAATCTTAAATCTGAGCCCAGGCAGTGTTAATTCACATTGCATGGTATAACATTATGAACTGTAAAAAATGCACATGTTATATGTTCTGACTTGAGGCTGCAGTGGAATACTGTGATGCAACATAAAAGTACACTTCTACAAACACTTTAGATTCACAGCACACTTAATTTTGAATTAATTTGGTCACTGTATATTCAGAAATCTGTTCTCATTGTCAAACTTTTCACAACTACCACATTTATATGTAGTCATAAGACACAGAATAAGAAAATGGTTTGCCTCTAGTGCTTGATTCTGAAGTATATGTACTATCATTGGAAAGATACAGAGAATATTAGTATGGCTTCTGCACAAGAATGATACACAAATTCATAAAGCATTCCATGATTTATCAATAACTCACTGTCATCTCTAAAGAACTCATTCAAAATAAAAATCAACAAAGAAATTTCAGTACTTAACCATATCGTAGACCAAATGGACAGTCACAGATTGGGAATCAAATCTATCAAGTGAACACAAAGCAAAACAAAGCTTTGTAAAGCCAAAATTAGAAAGGATAAAGAAAGACACTGCCTCCTTCCCTCTCTCCCACCCTCCCATGCCCCCCGACCACCCTTCCATCCCAACCCCCCCCCATTCCAAAGGGAGAGTGATGCCTTCCAGGAGGGGTTATCTAAATCTGTCAGGTCATTTGGAGTAGGGACTAGGCCCTCCCTCCTGCCTCTAAGTTAAGAGAGTATCCCTCCATGGGGAATATGCTCCCAAATTCCTTTTGTGCACCAGGGATACATCCCGGTTCCACTGTCTGAGGTCCCTTAGACTGCCCAGGCCTTCTAAGTGAGACCCATGTTCAGGGGTTCTGAGTCAGTCCAATGCTGGATTCCCAGCTATCAGTCTGGGGGCCCATTATATCCTCCTTATTCAGGTCAGCTGTCTCTGTGGGTTCCTATAGCCTGTCCTTGTCCTCCCTCTCTGCATTTGGATTCCAGTTAGGCTCAGTGTTTAGCTGTGGGTGTCTGATTCTGTTTCCATCAACTACTATATGAGGGCTCTATGATGGTGGATAAGTTAGTCATCAATCTCATTATCAGGGAAGGGCATTTATGGTAGCCTTCACACTGTTACTCAAATTATTAGTTGGGATCAGTCTCTGAACATTTCTCTGGAGTCAGTTTTCTCTTGAAACCTATAATGGCTCCCTCTTTTATGGCACCTCTCTCTCTCTCTCTCTCTCTCTCTCTCTCTCTCTCACCCTCACCTATTCATCCCCTGACTCAATCTTCCTAGTCCCATGTGCTTTCCTCTCCACCCCTTCTCTTTCTCCTAGCCCCTTCTCCACTCACTGTCCTCCCATTCCCAATATGCTCAGGAGATCTTGTTCCTTTCCCCTTCTGTGAGGGACCTTGTATGAAGCATACCATGTTCCTCTTTTTGTGACTGGGTTACCTCATCCAGGATGGTTTCTTCAAGTTCCATCCATTTGCTTGTAAATTTCAAGATTCCATTTTTTTCCCACAGAGTAGTAGTTCATTGGGTAAATGTGCTACATCTTCTTTATCCATTCTTCAGTTGAGGGGCATCTAGGATGCTTCCAAATTCTTGCTATTACAAATAATGCTGCTATGAACATAGTTGAATATATGTCTTTGTTGCATGAGTGTGGATCATTTGGGTATATGCCTATAAGTGGAATTGTCAGGTCCAGTGGTAGACTGATTCCCATTTTCCTGAAGAACTGCCATACTGACCTCCAAAATGGCTGTATGAGGAGGGACAGAAAGGGAACTGGGATCAATATGCAAAATAAGAAAAATAAATAAATAAGATTCTATTCCCATTTCAAATAACTAGCATTAAATTATTGCAGAAGTAAAGTCTAGATCTGTGTTTGACAATTTCTATACATGTTTTTAAGGCTTATCAAAACCTGTGAAAGGACCAGCAAGATACTTTAGCAGCTAAAGATGCTTGCTGCCAACCCTGGGTATCAAATCCTCATGTGTCACTTGAAGGAAGGAGAAAACTGAGCTGTCCTCTGATGCTTGTGCACATGCACCCATGAACACACACACACACACACACACACACACACACACACACCACAAACACTAGATGAATAGATAGATGACAGACAGACAGATAGAGAGATGGGAGATTTAATTGTCTCACAAAATTTTAAAACTTCTTTTCTCGGATAATAATCAACTTTATATGGAAAAACAAAAGACCCAGGATAGCCAAAACAACCCTATACAATAAAAGAACATCAGGAGGCATCACCATTCCTGACTTTAAGCTCTACTACAGAGCTATAGTTCTGAAAACAGCCTGGTATTGGCATAAAAATAGACAGGTAGACCAATGGAATCAAATTGAAAATCCTGATATTAATCCACGCACCTATGAACACCTGATTTTCGACAAAACAGCTAAAATTATACAATGGGGCAAAGACAGCATCTTCAACAAATGGTGCTGGCACAATTGGATGAGGGTGTGTAGAAGACTGCAGATAGACCCATGTCTGTCGCCATGCACAAAACTCAAGTCCAAATGGATCAAAGACCTCAACATCAATCCAGCCACATTGAACCTCTTAGAAGAGAAAGTAGGAGGTACCCTTGAACAAATTGGTATAGGAGACCGCTTCTTGAACATAACTCCAGGGGCACAGACACTGAAAGAAACAATTAATAAATGGGACCTCTTCAAACTTAGAAGCTTCTGTAAGGCAAAGGACACAGTTGACAAGACCAAACGGCAGCCCACTGACTGGGAAAAGATTTTCACTAATCCTATATCCGACAAAGGGCTGATCTCCAAAATATACAAAGAACTCAAGAAACTAGTCAACAAAACACCAAATAACCCTAAAAAATGGGGTACAGAACTGAAGAAAGAATTCTCAATGGAGGAAATCAAAAAGGCTGAAAGACACTTAAGAAAATGCTCCACATCCTTAGCTATCAGGGAAATGCAAATCAAAACAACTTTGAGATACCATCTTACCCCTGCCAGAATGGCTAAAATTAGAAACACCAGTGATGACTTATGTTGGAGAGGATGTGGAGAAAGTGGAACACTCCTCCACTGCTGGTGGGAGTGCAAACTCATACAGCCACTTTGGAGATCAGTATGGCGGTTCCTCAGGAATATGGGAATTAGTTTACCACAGGACCCGGCAATCCCCCTCTTAGGCATATACCCAAAGGATTCACATCAATGCAACAAAGACATCTGTTCAACTATGTTCATAGCAGCACTATTTGTAATAGCAAGAACCTGGAAGCAACCTAGATGCCCTTCATTTGAAGAATGGTTAATGAAGATGTGGCACATCTACACAATGGAATACTACTCTGCAGAAAAAAATAATGGTATCTTGAAATTCGCAGGCAAGTGGATGGCACTTGAAGAAACCATCCTGAATGAGGTAACCCAGTCACAAAAAGAGGAACACAGTATGTACTCACTCATATATGGATTTTAGACCTAGATCAAATGATCACCAGCCTATAATTCACATCACCAGAGGAACTAGGATACAAGTTGTATTCTAAGAGATTCATATAAAGTCCCTCACAGAACTGGGAAGGGACAAGTCCCCCAGACCTCAGGTATAGTGGGGGAGGACAGCTAATGGAGAGAGAAGTAGGAGAAAATGAGAGGGAGGAGAGGAAGGCATGTGCGACCAGGAGGATTGAGCCTGGTTAGGAATGGAAAATAGGAAAGAGAGAGAGAGACAGAGACAGAGAGAGAGAACATAAAAGAGGGAGCCAATATTGGTTTGAAGATAAAGTTGAACACAAAGAAAGGTCGAGGGAACTACAAGACTGCTCCCAACTAACAATCTCAGCTTCTGTGGAAAGGCTATCATAAATGCCCTTCCCAGAGAGTGAGATCAACAACTAACTTCTCCATGGAGTCCTCAACTAATGCCTGTTGAAAACAGGAGCAAACACCCATACATAAACACTGAGTCAAACTAGAACCCAGAAGCAGATGGAGAGGACAAGACCATGCGGTAGAAGTACATAGAGACAGCTTACCTGAACAAGGGGGAGCTAAGGGCCACTAGAAGCCAACAGGGGTCTGACTCGGACCCCCCTGAATATGGGTCTCAGCCAGAAGGTCTGAGCAGTCTAAGAGACCTCAGACAGTGGAGCCAGGATGTATCCCTGGTGCACAAAAGGACTTTGCAAACATATCCCCCATGGAGGGATAACTGCCTTATTCTAGAGATAGGAGAGAAGCCCTAGTCCCTACTTCACAGGACCTGTCAGATCTACATGACCCCAACTGGATGGCATTCCCCTACATATTGTATTGTGGTGGGGGGGTTGGGAGGGGAGGGTGTTTAGAGTGCATGGGAGAGGGTAGAGAGGGCAAAAAGGGAGGGAAGGAGGGAGGGAGGGCTTGGGGGGAGGGAGGGAGGGAGGGAGAGGGAACTGGGATCGACATGTAAAATAAAAAATAAAAAAAAATAAAAAAAAAAAAAAAACGCTTTGATTCCAAAATTTAAGTTGAAGAACAAGTTACTGGGGAAAGTATTTCTATTTTTGTTTCCACAGAAAATGAAAAGATGTGGATTCCTTCCAGACTAATGTGGTTTGATCACACCAGACCGCCTGAAACAGAGTACAAGCTGATCCTACATTCCAAACAGCTGGACAAAACAGCCCTACAGACTACAGCTAGGATATCTGAATCTTCTTCGAATCCCCCAAGACAGCGCCCTTACCAGCAGGAAGTAGTTTGGAAAGAACGATGCCCAAATTCCCAAATATTGTGTATAAATGTTTGTTTTCATTTAATTGGACTTTGTTATATAAAATTAAATAAAAAATACTCTATATGCATAAAAAAAAAAACTTCTTTTCTCTGCCCACCTTTTCTTCTGTTTGTTTGGTTTGTCATAGTGACCATGATAGACACCACAGTGAAGACAGTGAAGGCAGGGTTTAAATGAGTCCACCAGACCCAAGATAAATGATAATTAGGTATTTATTAGGGAAGCACTTACACAAATAATAGTAAATAACCACCAAGGTGTTCCTACTCCAGAAGATGCAGTCTCTGCTCTTCCAATGATCTCACTGCAATCCAAGAGCAAGAACCAGCCCATTCTCTACCTTATAAGGGGCATGTCTGAACACCTGAAATCATGCCCATAAAGAAAGACACTGAAGGTAATAATAGGTAATAATTCAAGAAGATACAACCCTGCAGGAGAAGTTACTACTTACCCTTGTACTAAATTAATACAGTTTCCGATAACTTTCTAAACAATCATCCTTATACCTATAGATATGTGCAGTTCTCACCCATAACAAATAGAGACCATAAAGACCATAGAAAGACCCACAACCTATAAAGTAAAATATAGAC